GCTTTTGTATTTTTCCCAGAGCCTCTTAGAAAGGGTCATGCAAAGTAGCACAATCCACAGATATTATGGGATCTTGAATCTCCTGAACTCTGTGACTTGATTTCCCCCCTAGTATTACCTTCTAGAAGGAGTTTCGTTAAGCTTCTTGCATAAATCTGGGAAGAAAGAGTTTTACAAGAGCCAAAATTACATTTCTCTAGATTAAAAAAAAATTGTGAAATTTAAATCACCATAGTTGCACCCTGATTCACATTTTTAATTATAGTCTTCCACCGTTTTGTATTTTTTTCCCCTTATTATTCAGTAGCAACAATGAGCCTTTTAAGCCTACCAAAATTTAAAATGCCTTCTTTACGTCACACTTGGATTACTTCAGAATTGAAGAATTCCATCCGTGTGGCTGAGCAGTGTGTGGGGATGAAAGGCACGCGTTCCCCCAAGGATTGTACAAACACGAGGTCAGACGCAGCCGCGGTGGGTTGTAAATCTGCTTTGTGCCTGTTGAGTGTTGGCATTTCCATTTTGATCTCTTGAATTTAGATTCACATATTCTGAACAGCAACCTATTGACTGCACACAAAATAAGAGTCGTGGTTCAGTTGTAAAAGCACATATATGTTCAATGATTTATGAAGAAAAATCAGGTTCCTGGTAATCTACTGTTGTAGATGGGTACTCTGGACAGACACTGTTCTGTTAAATTAATTTGTATCTTATTTTCTACCTTTGAGTAACCACGTTGTACATCATCTTGGGAAGTTCTAAGACTGCTTACAATAATTCTGAACACATAGTAGAAACTATGAATTCTGTGAAGAAACAAACATTTATTGAAAATCTGTCATATGCCAACATCTATGCTTGTTATTTGTAAAATATAGATATACCCCCCACACATATATTTAATTTTATAAAAGCCTTAAGAGATATAGGGATGAAGACACTGAATCTTAGTTGTTTTGGTGCTGAGATTCAAATGGAACCGGACCTATCTCGAATGCTCACATTCTTAATACATTCCGGGTGACTTTTAGATTTTGAATGTCATTACATAAAACTGACTTTAATTCAATAGTGTGAAGAGCTTTGCATATTACTTGGTGCATAGTCAACACTCATTAAATCCTATCGATTGTTATCTATCACTTTTGGATGTTTTTCTTCCTCTTCCTCATTTTTTTCTGTTTATTATCTCTGGAACCTTTTAAAAAATTCTTTCAGTTTTACATTAATAGAATGATAAAAGGAGAAAGAAAGAAAAAAAATGAGCAACTCCAAAAACAAAAGAAAAAAATGAAGAAATACAGAGTAGGGATAGGAAATAATACTTGCTCATAGGGTGGTGGTTAGTTATCATATTTAATTTGTTATGTCTCCTCAGGTTTTGTTTTATTCTCAGGCCATATTTAGATAACAACAACATAAGGGGTTTTTCAAAGATTTAAGCTACTGGATATGAATGTGGGCGCCAATGTCTTAGTATACCTATTCACTCCCTTCCCTAATCCTTCCCATCCCAATAAAAAACATTTTATTCATATTGATTAGTCCTACCATTTTGAGGTGGGGTATCTGCCAAAGTAGGTCTGTGAGTCTTCCTATGGCATCAAACTAAGAGTTCTTAAGTTAAATTCATCATCTTAATTCTTGCTCCAGCAAACATATTCCTTATCTTCCACCCGAGCTCTTTATGTGCCCTGACGGAGTATTGAACCTGCGACCTTCATGTATGGGGATGATGCTCTAACCAACTGAGCTACCTGGCCAGGGCCTCTTTTACTCGAGTTCTTAATGGGATGCCAGTGTTCCAGTGCCTGAGGTAGAAACCATAATGTCACTTTTAATCCTCTCTCTTTGTTTATAAAAAACAAAAACAAAAACAAAACAGTCTCTGCAGTCCCCTGCTACTCACGCACCTGCACTGTGGGCACCTGATCTGGTTCCTCATCACCTCCTAACTTGAGTTCCTCTCCCAGCCTTTCAGTTGGCATATTATGTATTCACCTCTTCACTTTTAGAGTATCTCACATAATACTGGCTTCCTAAAACAAGTTTTTGTAACATTAAAAATATCCTCTGTTTAGAAGCCAACAGTCATTCCATGTTCAGGCTGCTTTGCCTGATTATGGGTATGATTCATCCTTTCCTTACTTATCCCAATTGAGTTACCTACTAATAATGTGTAGTCTTTTCTCCAGTTAGAGAATGTTCTTTTTAATTAATAATAATAACATATTACTTCTATGGAGCCTGCTATGTGCCAGAACTGTTCAACACGCTTCACATTCATTCTGCTCTTCCCAATTTTAAGAAGTTACATGAGGACATGGAACATGGTCAGAGCACCCACTATTGTGATGGACTCTGAATGAGTGCTTAATAAATGCTTTCTTCTTCGGTGCTGCACCCCTTTCCCACATGCCATGCTCAGTTCTACCCTTTTGCCTTTATCCATGGTGTTCTCTTTTCGTAGAATATATATATTTTTTCCTTTTGGTGTATCCAATTCATATCCACTACCCAAATACTACATCAGCTCATTTAGTTCTCATGGATCTTTCCTGTTGTCAAAATCCTAATGTATTTATAAGGAGTTTGGCATAGTTTACAATGTAACTTGCTTCAATGTAATCAGTTTTGACTTTCACTTTTTCCAAAATCTTTAACAGTGCTTTACAAGCTTCAAATACTTTTTGAATGAATACATTCCTCTCTTCTCAAATAAACATTAACTTTCTGGAAGGTTTAGCCCATGTGTTCATTTTTTTCCCATCCCCACAGATCTCAGCAATGAGCTTGGCATATATATAAATACCTAGTGACTGGATGTGAGAGTCCAAGCCATCTCTGTCTTGTGGAACTTGCATGGGAAAATACCTTCTTATACTGTGCACATAGATACACTTCAACCAAAAAGGGCAATACAGTAGATTCAGAGATAGAAGTAAGTGAATAAAGAATGAGATTATCTCTGTTTATTTGGCGATATTAAAAGATGTACGTTTTGAGCACTTACTGTATGTAAGGTCCTGAGCTAAGGGTTTCACGTTCATCACCTTAGTTCATACAGCCAAGTTTCAGGTAGATGATGCAGCTATGCTCGGAAGGGTTCCATAGCAGCCTGTAAGCAGCAGAACCCGGTTTATTTTGAATGCATATGCTAACTGCCTGTCATCTTATTCAGCCTCATTTTTGGAGTTTTTACCGCTTGGGAAATATCTCTCCATTGAAGTTCTCTAACTTCAAATACATTAGATCATGTTTGTTTCCAGCATAAACATTCAGTAAATGTTAGCCTTTATTTTTGCTCTTTTTCCAAATTACACGGAAGTGTTCATGACATTGTCATTTCCCCTTATGCGAACTTATTTTTAAGGCAAAATGAGCTATTTATGTTTGTGAAATCTGGATGTTTATGTGTGTGTTTATATGTATTTGGGCTTCATGAAAGCAAAGAAGATTTAGGAAGTGAGAATGAAAAGTGAGCTACTTTGCTACTGTTTCCAATCACCCCTCCCTATTTAGAGGCCTGTGCAGTGTATCTGGAAGGATGCCTGTCTGAGCTGACCAATGAGAGTTAGGTGATGGAGGTCAGAGGTGGCCACAGACACCTCCACTGAAGTATCCAGACCCCTCAATGTCTTAGAAGGAAGCTTTAGTATTGATCCACCTTCTGGGCAGAGAATTTTAGGCTGTCTTTTTAAGATCTGTCAACTCATTTTTCTGCAGTATGGAGAATGACAGAATCATGGAAGGCATGAACACTCTAGTTTTCATTTTTGTGTATGCTATCTCAGTGCAGTCGGACTCTGGAATTTAAAAACTAAAACTTGACTAGAAAATAACCAGTTTAGAAGTGAAAGTAAAACCCTTTTATTGGAATTTTAAAATTTTGATGTAATTTCAGACGCAGAAAAGTTATGAGAATATAAGGAACTCCCGTACACACTCTAACTTATTTTAAAAGAGTAATATATTAATTTTTTTTTCCATCTTACCATTTGCTAATTATATAATAGCTCATGTTGTCACGGTGGTAGAAAAAATTTTGTTAACTGGGCCTGCTCCCCCAACCCCACCTTGCTTCACTGCGATATAATTGTCGTATAACAGTGTGTAAATGTAAGGTGTGCATGTTCGTTTGATACATTTATAGTGTCACAAAATGATTGCCCCAGTGGCATTAGCTAACACTCCATCCTGTCACATGATTACTATTTATTTTTGTGGTGAGACATTTAAGACCCTACTTTTAATTTCAGTGCTTTCTAAAGGATTTTTAAAATAAAGATTTCCTTTCAGCATGTTACTCTAGAAATGTTTGTCTCCTTACATTGAGTCCCTTCTCCCCCGCCCCCCCCCCCGACCTCGAATCCTCCTACAATATTTTTACAGATCAGTATTAAAAGATTTATGTCTTAAAGTTTTAGGGAAATCCCAATTTGGAGTTTGGGGCTAAAATACTGTTCATTGAGAAGTGATCAGAAGAATTACTATTTTAGTATGGTTGGAAATATGAGAACATTCAGGAGAATCCCAAGTGTAAGGAGTCTAATGAAATAGGAAAAAAATGAGCATTATTTTTATTTTGCAGTTGTATAATTATAACATTCTAGTGGCAAAATAGAAGAGCTTTTACATGGTTTGATTTAAAAATGATGCTTGAACTGACTACATTAAAACAGTGTAATTAAAGGTATTTATAAATTTGATATCCAATATGCTATTTCTTAGTTATATCTTAGAATAAGAAATTTAAATGTTTAAGATCCTACACATGTACTTGTTTTCATATTGTTAGGATTAAGTGAAATAATTTGTGAGAACAACTTAATTATAAAATAGTAAAAGGCTATAATATGTGAGCTATTTTTATTTCCTTTGTAGAAGCAAACAAGAAAAAAACTGTTTATTTAAACAAGGTAAACAGAGGAGCCATCTTTTACTAACATTTGCATGAAATTATACAGAACTTAATGTATTTGCATTTTTAATTTCAGATTCAAAACGCTAATGATGTATTAATTGCGCCACTTGAGAAATTTCGAAAAGAACAAATAGGTGCAGCAAAAGTAAGTTTTATATTTTATTTTTCTTCAGATATTCTCCTGGTAATTAAAGATCAAGTAATTTCAGATGGTAACATTTTTGAAATTAGAATGACCTTTTAAAATTCTGTATGGCATTTTTAACTTTTGCAGCAAGCCTATTACAAGGACTGGAATTCTTTTAAACATAAAAGATATTATTCTTCTACTGAACAGAGAAAAAGTCAGTATAAGTAAGTTTCTTCCATTCCCACAATTGCAGGAAATTAAATACAGTTGTAGTTTTGGTAAAATAATGAGCATTGTTCCTAACACCTATAAAATAAAAATTGAGCACAGACTATACTGAAAATTCAGGCAGTTATTTAAAAAGAATTTTTATTATTTATTGTATTTTTTCATTATTAATGAAAACATGTATTTGTGAAAAAGCCTTGGGTACGTTTGTCAAGCTTTTGCATTAATGTTTAGTCTATTACATACCAATTAAAATTTTCCTTAGCATAATGTTTTCTGAAATTTACTTACATCTTTTCTCTTAGATCTACATTTTAACCTGAACAACATTATGTAAGGACATAAAATTTAGGGTTTTCAAAGCAGAACTCATCATCTCCAGTCCTTTCCTGATTCTTTCCCCATTTCGGTTTTCTGTTTAGGCGGTGACATCCCCCTTCCCCATCCGAGCAGTTCTATCTATTCTACTGCAGACTTACATTTCCTTCTTTCCTCTGTCTCTTCTGTCTGAAGTATTGAATTAAATAGCTAGCCTACTAGTTGGTCTCCACGCTCCCATCCTAGTCTGTTAACAGATTTTCCCATCTCTCTCCTTCAATGGTGAAACCTTCCGTGGTTCTCCGTGAGAGACAGTTTAATCCTGATAATGAAAGCTCTCCACACTGTGCCCATTTGCTGCATTTCACTCTACCTCTGTCCATGGCTTGGTCCAACCTTTTTTCTCCCCCTGGAACATTTCTTACCGTTCCCTTGCTGAAGTCTTGCTAGCTCTCCATGGCTTATCACCCAGCACCAGAAAGAAGCCTTCCTTACATAGGCCTTTCCTTGTTCTCTCCTCTTCTAGAATTGATTTTTTTTTCCTTTGTATAATCCAGTAATCCTTATGCCTTATTTCCTGTAGAAAGCTATCACAGTCTGCCTTGAATTAGTTTTATGTACATTTCTCCAGCAATTAGAACAATTATCAAGTCAAGGACTAATCTGGAACCATTTCTGTGTTAATTAATGCAGCAAGTATTTATCAATGCCATGGTTGGCCTGCTTGTGGCAATCGTGGTGTTTTAAATGAAGGGATATAACTGTATAAACAAGACATCTGGGATCCCTGCTCTTGTGTCCCTTACTATCTTTTTGGAAAACAGACACTAAAGTAATTGCAAATGCACTGAGGGTTGTGATACAGAAATGCAGGGTGCTTCCTGACAGTCTAATTAATGGCACTGACCTTGTCCCCAGAACCAGGAAGTGCCTTCTGGAAGAGGTATTGGTTAAGCAGAGAAATAAAAGGATGAGAAAGAAATAGCTAGACATGGGCAGACAAGGGTGGGAAGGGGAGAACCTTTTAAACATTCCTGAAGAAGGAACAAAGTAGGTGTGAATCAAGGCCTGAAGGAGGAAAGTGGCTGGCATTTTAAAGGAAGAAGATCTAATAGACTGGAATGTAGAGGACCATGGGGATGGAGAACATGTGCACAGACTTCATTAGTGGTTCATGGTATTTTATTCCTTATTCTAAGGGCACTGGTAAGCAAACGAGAAGTTGCGGGTAGAGAAATGATACTATATTTGCATTTTTAAATATTACTCTAGTTGCATGTCATTAGAGGATGCAAGACTGCTTTTGTGAAAACCAGTTTGGTGCTATTGGATAGGGGCTTTAGACTGAGAAGGCGACGGTGGCCGTGGAGAAAAGGGGTGTATTTCTGAGGAAAATGGAAAGGAGTAGATAGGAAACGGGTTACATATTGAGAAGTGAGGAACAGGACATTTCAGAGATGACTGCCAGGGGTCCGGGATGCGTAACTGGGTGGTGTTGAAGCCACTTACTGAAATAGGCAGCACTTATGTTTGGGTGGCAAGGATGGTGATTTTGACTTTTAGACATAAGGAATCCGTGATTCCGTGTGTAATCAGACCTGAATTAGAAATATACCTTAGGGGATTATTGTTCTCCAGGTGGTAACTCAAATCATGGGGGGTAGGTTAGCTCCCACTGGGAAAGAACAGAGGAGAGGACCTAGTCCTTTATAATCCGAGAACTGTCAACATTTGATGTTTGGGGAGAGAAAAACAAGACAGATAGAAAGAGTGTGGAGGAAGGGGCCGAAGGAAGAAAATAACAAGAATGTGGTATTCCAGAGCAAGGAAGAGTCTTTTTAAGAATAAAAATAGCTGATGTTTATTGACATCTACATGGTAGGGGTTTTCACTGAACTATTACATCTGTACCCTAATTGAATCCTTAAAGCAACCTATGATATGAGTAAAGGTGTTACACCTGTTTTATAATGAGGACAATGATGAGGGGCCGCACCAGATCAGAGTTGGGAAGTCAGACCACGGAGGTAAAAAATCAAGCCATTTCACTTCACAGCCTTGATTTACAGTATTTCACTTCATCAATTTTTATCCAATAAACAGCTTTGTGAAAAATTCTTTTTTTAATACAGGATATTCTCAGTTGTCTGGCCCATTGAAGAGAGTAGATTTTATTTGTATATGGATTATTCTTATTTGAAGGTTTAAATAGATTAGCTACAGTTGTGAACAAGTATGAACAATTACATCGATTTTATTTTATTTTTTAAACATCTTAATCGCTGGACAGGCCAGTGGAGAGCACACAGTAGTAGACTATGCCTTTGCCTACTCATTAGAAGATTAAACCTGTGGTTAAATGAAATCTTAAGCATAAAGATTAGCATTTGGTCTTTTGGGTGGTGATTCTGTTTTATCTGCCTGATGCTCTTAATACTAAATTGTTTTTAGGCTGCTAAGTAGTCTTTTTGTTTTGTTAGTAAAGTGAATAAAAAGGAGTCATTTTCTTTTGAAATACACATTTGAATATATTTCAGTTTTCTTTTGGTATTGCAAAAACATCATGGTAGGAATGGAAATCCTTCAAGGTGTTTATCTTTTCCTATTGCTTTACTCCCTGTTTTACGTAGGTATTTCCTTACTTGGTAAAAAAAAGGTAATTCTACAAATGACACTCTGCTGCTTTTCACAGAGTGGAGGTTTCCCATCGTGTGCTCGGACCGATGAGCCAGCTGGAAGGCGAGAGTGTCTATTAAGTGTAGAATCTTCCACTGCAGTCAGCAACCTCCGTAGCTTGGTCCAAGAGGAAAGCGCTGAGTCAAAGTGGCTCTCTCCTCACAACCAGATGATCCTATTTAACTGAAGTGGATAAAGTCCATGGACCACAAACATTTCCTTTGTAGTGTGTTCTATAGAGCTTTGAGATACCTAATACTATACTGTGGAAAGTGCGGTCCTGAATGAGTTACAGTTGTGGGAAAAAAAAGCACCATGCATCTGTGAGAGGCATTAGGAAAGGTTAACGATGGGGTCGTTGAACTCAAGGACAGAGGAGACGGGTCCTGCTTTTTTGAATAGCTAAAGATTAGGAGGATTATCTATGAACAGTTGTCAAGAATGTATTTATTTAAAGGTTCTTAGTTTAGTGATATTCACAGAATGAGATTGTATTACAGGCCTGGCCTATTACATGTGTCAGAGTGTAGAACTGCATGTTTTGTTGTTTTATTGTGTCATCTGACATACTGCCAATCTAAATTTCAGAAATTAGTGGAAGTAGGGATTCAGAAGTATGAATACCAACAGGAATTTTTATAATATGAATACACCTAGAATAGCGTTATAATAGAACAGGATGAATTATAATTTGTTTCCACACTTTTGAGAGAGAATCAATTGTAAGTCATTTCTGCACTTCTCACACTAGTTTCTACACAAACTGACTCTTACCAATAAAAGACAAATACAGTATGGGAAAGTGTGTGTGTGTTTCTGTGTATGTGTGTGTGCAAACATATGAACATATCAGACTATTCGATATTTTAAGAGATGGAACTGACTTTCAGGAGGCCAGTGCGCATATCCCACATGTAAGCGGACTGGGCAATCCAGCTGATGACACCGTGAGGGCTAGAGGTCCTCGGACCAGTGTCCGTCTACTGCCGGAAAGCAATATCTCAAATACAGTTTTACACATTCACAATTAAGGCGGGAATGTAAGGCAGATTACATGAACCTGGGTAACAGCAAAGCAGGTAAATCTCTATGGTTGGATTACAGGATAGTTAATAGGATTTTGTGCTCTTTTGAGGATGGTTTTACTTCTGAGTGGTACAGAAAAAAAGGCATTTCAAAGGCCTGTTAACCTAGAGGCACAGAAACAATGGGCAGGGCTTGCTTAAGGCAAAGATAACTTTTTTATAGGCCTGGGGCCTGACTACCCACCGTGACCTGCCCAGTTCGGAATTTATTATCAGATCATTCTGTGAGGTTGCTTCTGGTGAGATTTATTACAGCACCCTTTTCATCCACTCCAGCAGTCTTTCATTGCCTCTAGGCTGTTCTTTAGAATGCTTTTGTGAGATATTTTAGTTCATTTACCTTTAACAAACAAACAATTTAATGTGAAATATCTTAATTATAGAAATGTTTCAAATATGTCCAAACTTGTCCACTTTGAATCAGATGAAGTTAATATATTTCCCGTGATTTAAAAATTCCCACCACACAGTAGCCACTTAACACTGACTGGTTTCATTAGTGATAAAAGAAATGAGAAATACAGCCTATAAAAGTTAAAAGATACATTTTTCTTTATTATATGGGAAATGTTTTTCAAGACTGATTTCTCAAAAGAAACTTTGCAGGCTAGAAGGGATTGGTAAGAACTATTCAAAATGATGAGAAGCAAGGACCTACAACTAAGATTACTCACCCAACAAAGCTATCATTTAGAATTGAAGGACAGA